CTAAAATGTAATTTAGAACAAGAACAATGTGTCTTATTTACACAGACAGATTTCGAAACACATTTATAGTTACATAGTTACATAGCTGAAAAGAGACTTGCGTCCATCAAGTTCAGCCTACCTCACATTTGTTTTTTGCTGTTGATCCAAAAGAAGGCAAATAAAACCAGTTTGAAGCACAATTTTGCAACAAGCTAGGAAAAAAAAAATCCTTCTTGACCCCAGAATGGCAGTCAGATTTATCCTTGGATCAAGCAGTTAATACCCTACATTGAAAGATTATATCCTTGAATATTCTGTTCTTGCAAGTATGCATCTAGTAGCCGTTTGAACATCTGTATGGACTCTGATAAAACCACTTCTTCAGGCAGAGAATTCCACATCCTGATTGTTCTTACAGTAAAAAAACCTTTCCTTTGCCTTAGACGAAATCTTCTTTCTTCCAGTCTAAACGCATGGCCTCGTGTCCTATGTAAAGTCCGGTTTGTGAATAGATTTCCACACAATGGTTTGTATTGGCCCCGAATATATTTGTATAATGTTATCATATCCCCTCTCAGGCGACGTTTTTCTAAACTAAATAGGTTTAAATTTGTTAACCTTTCTTCATAGCCGATATGTTCCATTCCTTTTATTAATTTTGTAGCCCGCCTCTGCACTTTTTCTAGTGCCATAATATCCTTCTTTAGAACAGGTGCCCAAAATTGCATAGCATATTCAATATATGGTCTTACCAGTGATTTATAAAGAGGCAAAATTATATTCTTGTCCCGAGAATGAATGCCCTTTTTCATGCATGACAATACCTTACTGGACTTGGCCACTGCTGATTGACTTTGCAGATTGTTGCATAGTTTGTTGTCTATAACAATTCCCAAGTCCTTTGCATGTGTTGTTATTTATGGTAGTTTAAATACCCATTACTGGGAGTATTATTGCTGTGGAGCTGTTATACACTCAGACACATTACTGGGAGTATTATTGCTGTGGAGCTCTGTTATACACTCAGACACATTATGGGGAGTATTATTGCTGTGGAGCTCTGTTATACACAAAAATAGGGACACTTGGAAGGTATGCATTTTTCTTTGAAGAAAATCACAAAAATGTTTCCTCACTGTGTGCATGATTTACCTGTATCTCCTGTGTGTTCCAGGAACCATTACTGATGTAACTGTATCTCCTGTGTGTTACAGAAACCTTTACTGATGTACCTATGTGACTGTATGTCCTGTGTGTTCCAGGAACCTTTACCGTTGTGACTGTATCTCCTGTGTGTTATAGGGACCTTTACCAATGTGACTGTATCTCCTGTGTGTTCCAGGGACCTTTACTGATGTGACTGTATCTCCTGTGTGTTCCAGGAACCTTTACCTATGTGACTGGATCTCCTGTGTGTTATAGGGACCTTTACCAATGTGACTGTAACTCCTGTGTGTTATAGGGACCTTTACCAATGTGACTGTATCTCCTGTGTGTTCCATTGACCTTTATTGATGTGACTGTATCTCCTGTGTGTTCCAGGAACCTTTACCGATGTGACTGTATCTCCTGTGTGTTCCAGGAACCTTTACCTATGTGACTGTATCTCCTGTGTGTTCAAGGGACCTTTACCGATGTGACTGTATCTCCTGTGTGTTCCAGGGACCTTTACTGATGTGACTGTATCTCCTGTGTGTTCCAGGAACCTTTACCATTGTGACTGTATCTCCTGTGTGTTCCAGGGACCTTTACCAATGTGACTGTATCTCCTGTGTGTTCCAGGGACCTTTACCGATGTGACTGTATCTCCTGTGTGTTCCAGGAACCTTTACCTATGTGACTGTATCTCCTGTGTGTTCCAGGGACCTTTACCAATGTGACTGTATCTCCTGTGTGTTCCAGGGACCTTTACCGATGTAACTGTATTTCTTGTGTGTTCCAGGAACCTTTACCGATGTGACTGTATCTCCTGTGTGTTCCAGGAACCTTTACCATGTAACGGTATCTTGTGTGTTCCAGGAACTTTTACCGATGTGACTGTATTTCCTGTGTGTTCCATGAACCTTTACCGATGTAACTGTATCTGCTGTGTGTTCCAGGGACCTTTACCGATGTGACTGTATCTCCTGTGTGTTCCAGGAACCTTTACCATGTAACTGTATCTTGTGTGTTCCAGGGACCTTTACCGATGTCACTGTATCTCCTGTGTAAAACTACTCACAATAACTGGGTGTGACTGCAGATTTCCAGAACCAGTGCTGTCCACTGGGGACCCGCCAGTACCTACAATATCCTAATCCAAACCAAAAAGAAGAAAGGAGGATGTCCAAATGGGCACACCAAGAGACCCAGGAATTGATGCTCCAAAAAAATATTATTATTAGATTATAGCCACCTCACTTTATATGCACAGACCACTAAATCATAGTGATACCAAGCTCCTAAACAAAATCTAAAAATAGATGTGAGTTATGTATAGAAATGGATGATTATTCTCCTAACATGGTTCAGTCAAAAATGTTTAAAGTTCTACTTTGGATAGAAAAGTCTTGAGATGGAATTATTTCCAATGTCTTGTCCTACATACATGATTTTTAAAGGATTTCTTGCAGAAACACTTGTGAGATAAACATTCTGACCTTTATTGAATATGCTTGTGCCTTATAAGCTATGCGTAACAATAAAAAAAGTATTGAGTACAAGCTTCACATGGATTTGTGTTGGAAGTGAAAGCACAGTGTGAGCAAAATCAGGTTTTCATGCACTTGTTAAAATCCAAGTATAGACTGTACTTTTTTTTTTGTCTATTTCATGTCAAACCCAGAACATATCTCCAATATGTTTCAAATCCCATGAGGATTTAGGTATTTAAGCACGACAAAAATGAACAGAAACAGAATTGATTAGAACCTTGTCAGCGGTTTAAGGTCACTCTTTGTACGCACCTGGAATTATGTTAGTTGCTCTTTGTAAGATAAAGCACTGTGTCTTACTATTGGCATCAATACATTTCAAGCAGCTAACAGCCAGATCTTTATAGTTCACAGTATTGGCTAAGCAACGTCCTCTTTAACCTTATTGAATATTCAGTGAGATCCTGCTGTAGACAGCCAGGAAATAATTCACAACTCGATACATTAATTATCTCCGGACACTAGTACTTGACAAATGAAATATCTTAAGTCATTTGTTATGTTATACTACTTACAAATATTAAATGCATTTATTATGGAACAAGCCATATGGAGCAATCATAGGGTGTTTGCCTAGTTATATTATTGTGGGCAGCCCCAAATGGCATAACAATGGTTTGTGTGGCCCTCAGCACACACCATTGCTACCACAGAACCACTCTTTAAATGTTATATATGTAGCGAAATGTGGTCGCTCTACAAGATTTATTCCCCTTTGTTCGGCTGTTCATACCCCCCTGTTTGGTTCATACCCCTCCCCCCGATCACCAACCTCCTCTGGCTGTTAACCACGAATGAGCAATTAGCTGAAGATCTTTCCCTGGGTGGTCACTATTTGTATACCCAAACACACGTGCTCTAGGGAATGGTGGCCATTTTTTGTCTCCTGAACGCAGGTAGCGGTACATGGTCGTCGAATGTGTGGAACTCTGGGCTGGCTACGTGATCCCTAGAGTGCTGGGGAAAGCTGTACTGCTACCTGCTCAGCTTCTAGACAAGTTAGGAGAATGGCGTTTGGGAGAAAGGAACTACCGACTAGGGGGAGCATTCGCTCCCTGAAAGCCAGGGGGAGCATTTGTCAGTGTTCGCACAGAAACCCCCAAAAATAGACTGTGCGTTGCATCTTTTCCTGTGTAACTATTTAAGGCTAGTACCCCATGGCTGGCCGGTCAGAACTTTACCTGAATTGGCTATTCCAAAGGGATCTGGCCGCTATTTGGATTACTTGGGCACTCAGATCTGGGCTATACGGGGATATCACATTTGTGGGGTTCCTGTATATCATGGATATATTTTTGGGGTATTTTGTTTAATTTTGAATTGTTTCTTATAACTGAAAGATAATTGAGTTATCCTTTCCTTGACTCAATTATCTCTCAGACACAGAGATACCTGGGAGGGGTTTGTATTCTGTTCTATGGAGACCCCATGCTGGGGGTCTGTAAATAAAAGATCGAGACATAATAGTGTCATCTAGTTACTGGGAGGAAAGAGTTATAATCACAACAGTGTCTCTTAAAGCTTCGAGGAAGAATCAATGGAAATTCCTAGTTGGGGTATTGGAGCTCCACTACAATATAAAACCCAAATATATGGCTATCATAGGACAATGTAAATACAGTTTTAATGAAGCTCCATACTACAAGCAGAAATGTTTTGACCTCATAATGAGGTGTTTATAAAGCTTGATATGAAGTGTTATTGCTAAGATTGCGTGGTATATCTACTAATTGTTAAAAAGTAATAACAGATACGCTGTGTTGATTATTAAGAGAACTGCACATGTTCTTTCCTAAGTACTTGTGGGGCTTAAGCCAAGGGCATTTTGGCAACTTTGGGACACATCTCTCTATACCATTGATGGCGAACCTTTTTGAGCCCGCATGCCCAAACCGCAATACATGCCAACTTTTTTTCCCTTAAAGTGCCAACATGGCAATTAAACCTTAATACTGAGGTTTAAGTTTAGAAAAAACAACTCGTACTGTTGTCGGAACTAATTAACAACACAACAGAGAGTTCAATGATACAAATTTTAAATAATGATATAAATAGATAAAATTAAGCTTATATTTATTAGTATCTCCAACAAATGCAATACATACACACACACAGACTGCTGAATACAGAGACTGATGAATACACACATACACATACAGACAAACTGCTGAGTACACACACAGTCCGCTGAATACACACACACACAGTCCGCTGAATACACGCACACACACAGACTGCTGAATACACGCACACACACAGACTGCTGAATATACACACATACTGCATTGAGGGGTGTAGTGTATGTGTGTTTGTGTGTGAGGGGTGCTGTTTGTGTGAGTATATGAGGGGTGGTGTGTGTGTGTGTGTGAGGGGTGCTGTGTGTATGAGGGGTGCTGTGTGTGTGTATGAGGGGTGCTGTGTGGGGGGTAGGGGTGCTATGTGTGGGGGATAGTGGTGCTGTGTGGGGGTAGGGTTGCTGTGTGTGTGGGGGTTAGGGGTGGGGAGGGATGCTGGGTGGAGGGGGAGGGAAGCTGGGTGTGGGGGAGGGAGGGATACTGGGGAGGGAGGGTGCTGTGTGGGGGTGTACTCGGGGTAGGGATGCTGTGTGTGTGTGGGGCTGGGGTAAAGGTGTTTTTTTTAAAAAGTATGCTAAATCAGTATCCCCCCTCCTCCCTCCTTCTTACCTTTAATGAAGGAGGGGGGGACACAGCCATCCCTGGTGGTCCGGTGGTGGCAAGCACTGCTCGTCGGGGGGGGGGGGATCTGCGAAGCAGCTCCCCTGTCCTCCCGCGAGCAAGCTGTGTGGAGTGTTGCCATGGTAATGCGCGGTAACGCTCCACACAGCTTGCTCGCGGGAGGACAGGGAAGCTGCTTCACAGATCCCTCCCCCTGCCTCCTGACGCAGAAGCAGAGTAGGCGCCTGCCGTTTTGGGCAGGCAGGTGCCTACTCTGCATTGATGGCGAACCTATGGCCACGTGCCCACAGAAAGGGCCTGGCGTGCCACCTGTGGCACGTGTGCCATAGGTTCGCCATCACTGCTCTATACAATAACTCCTAGTGGAGACTTTGATTGGATGTCCTAGAAGTTAGCCACTTTCAAGCCTGCTTATAAGGGTTATTCTAATCCCCTATCCAGCAGATATATATACTATAGACCCTACTATGATTTGAGTTGAGGTCACTATGAGATTTTTTTAGGGAGGACTTACCCTTAGTCTTTACATAAGTGGCTCGGAGGATTAGCATGATACCCCTCCTCTTGTACTGTTTAAATTATTTCCCCACTTTCCCTGTTATTACTTTTTAACAATTAGTAGATATAACACGCAATCTTAGCAATAATAAAGGTATTTTTCATAATTAAGCAATTGGATTAGCTGTGGCATAGTATTATGTAGTGTTATCTTCCTTTATCACACTTTAATTCGGCACATGGGGGACTTGATCTAATTAGTTTACAACTCTATACAGGAGTGTCATTCCAATACTTTGGTTCCCTTTGGGAACATTTACTATTGTTTTTGCAGACAGGGTCAGTCCCTTTTATTGGAAGACACAAGGACCTCACCTTATCTGTTCTCTTGTCTCTAAGGTTGTGATACATACTGGAACTCTACTGGTATTCTAAAGATTTCTCTATAGACTTCCCCCAGTTAGTACATTATTTCCCATATATGAGATTAGGGTAGATGTGATGTTTTGAAGACTGTATCTGAATATCCAATCAAGGATTGGTGGTTTCCCTCCCATAAAATGTTGAGTTTATCCCTGAATCCCCTTGTGTCAGACTCTGAAACCTATGATTGATACAATATCACAGCATCTTACAATGACATATGTGAATCAGTGATAATTTTAGAGGCAAATTTGAATTTAGTTTTAGTCATAGTCTTTTGACTAAAAAGTCATTTTAGTTTTAGTCGTATTTTAGTCATCTGAATTGTTTTAGTCGACTAAATCTCCAGTAGACTAAGATTGAATGGGTTTAGTTAAAGCCTCTATCTGTCTATCTCTATGTCTAACTCTATATGCCCCTTCCCCAGCTCCTCTGTGTCTCTTTGTGTTCTCCTTCTAAGTGTCTCTCTCCCAAGTCCTGGTCTGTCTCTTTTGCCGTTTCCACAGCTCCTCTGCGCAGTGTTAATATTGGCGGCAAAATGTAATCTAATTTTAGTCATAGTCTTTTAGTTTTAGTGGTATTTTAGTCATCTCAATTGTTTTAGTATTAGTCGACTAAAATTTGAGTAAAATTGTTAGTTGAAAACAATTAACACTGATGAATATGGGTCTTCTTTATATTCATGTTTTATATTCATGTTTTAGTAAATATATATATCTATCTCAAACCTTGATGTCCTCCTAAGAAACATCTCTGCCATCTCTCAAAATGTATTCAAATTAGCTGAAATTAATATCTACTAGAGAACTTTTCTAAAGCCTAAATTTCATTCATATGGGCCAGCCTTGAAATGATACAATGTGTTGGAAAAACATTTCCATTTAATTACCTAAAAAATTCTCATAGACGTCAGGAGGTAAGTCATTTCAAATATTTAAAGGGACACTATAAAAGGACACTATAGTCACCAAAACAACCTTAGCTTAATGAAACTGTTTTGGTGTATAGATCATGCTCCTGCAGTCTCACTACTCAGTTCTCTGCCTTTAAGGAGTTAAATCACTTTGTTTATGGAGTCTAGTCACACCTCCCTGCATGTGACTTGCACAGCCTTCATAAACACTTCCTGTAAAGAGTCATCTAATGTTTATCCATCCTTTATTGCAAGTTCTGTTTAATTTAGATTTTCTTATCCCCTGCTATATTAATAGTTTGCTAGACCCTGCAAGAGCCTCTTGTATGTGATTGAAGTTCAATTTACAGAGCAAGAGATACAATTGTTTAAGGTAAATTACATCTGATTGAAAGTAAAACCATTTTTTTCATGCTGGCTCTGTCAATCAGATCCAGGGGAGGTGTTGCAAGGGCTGCATAAACAGAAACAAATTGATTTAACTCCTAAATTGCAGAGAATTGTGCAGTGAAACCTGAGAGGTATGATCTATACACTAAAACTGCTTCATTATGCCAATGTTGTTTAGGTGACTACAGTGTCGTTTTAATC